CTCCTACCCCTTCCGCTGCTCCTCCTCCCTCTGCCGCTCCTCCGCACTCCTCCGCTCCTCCCCCTCCCCTGCTCCTCCCCCCTCTGCTGCTCCTCCCGACTCCGCCGCTCCTCCGCTCCTCCCCCTGTGCAGCTTCTCCACACTCCTCTGCTCCTCCGCACCCCTCCGCTCCTCCCCCTACCGCGGCTCCTCTCCTGTGGCAGACTGCGTAGCCACACGGGCCCTGTAGGACCCGTCCCGGACATTCAGCCTAAAAGCCTAAAACTTAGGAGCTATAGGCCCCGGTCGTTTCATCCTGAAAACTGAAAAACGAGGGCCTGCAGGCCCTGCTCCGTTGCAGCCTATTTCTGGGTCTTTCAGACCTAGAGTTTTTCCAGCCTGAAACGGAGGGCTATTCTTAGGCCCTGGGCTATTTTTAGACCCTCATTTGTTTCGACCTGCCCTAAGATTCAGGCACGAAAACTGGGTTTGGGAACAGGCTATTTCTGGCCTGTTCCCACGCTAGCTCGATCAGGAGCTGCAGCTGCAGCCCCTGCCTCCCTGCGGCATTATTGGCAAGAGCACGAGCAGGAGGTGCAGCTGCAGCCCCTGCCTCCCTTCGGCATTATTGGCAAGAGCACGAGCAGGAGCTGCAGCTGCAGCCCCTGCCTCCCTTCGGCATTATTGGCAAGAGCAGCCTCCTGGACTGCTCGCCCGAGTCAGGAGGCACCCGTGATAGTACATAGGAGCTTCAGGCACTGAACGGGTAGGCAGTTGGAGAGTAGGACTGTAGTCTTCAGATTCGTCCGCAGCACTCAGGAGGAGCGCTGCAGTAGTCTTCAGCGCTAGGCAGTAGTGGTAGAGCTAGCTGTAATCATCGGCGCTGGGCGCCATAGCCATAGCTGTAGTCATCAGCGCTGGGCGCTGGTAGGAGGTAGATAATAGAGTTGGGAGAGATACTGGCGGAGGGTGCTGAACCGTATTGATCAGCGCCCAGCGCCCAGAGATATTGGCGGAGGGCGCTGGACCGTATAGGTGCAGACCAGAACAAGAACCGACCTTTCAATACAAAGTACAAGATAGCACAGCGGAATGAGTGTGGGGCTTACAGTGCCATGTAAGCAGTGCCACATCAGCAGTGCCACGTCAGTAGTGCCACGTCAGCCAGCAGTGCCCCGCCACCATGACGGGCGCAGCTCTGGGCATGCCAGGCCAACTGGCCAACGAGTCCATTGCCGACTACAAAAAGCGTTTTCAGATTCAGCTCGCTGCAATCGAGGCTGAGGAACAACACCAGCTGGCAGTCAAGGCTGCCCAGCTACAGGCWGAAGAAGCGGCAACARCAGAGAAGCTGCGKCTACAGGCCGAAGCAGACGCAGATGCCCAGGCTCRCCRCAAGGAAGCCCAGGAKCTRCTGCTGCRGCATGAAGCCAACAGCATCGACAGACTCAAGTACTGGCACTTTGAACCGAACGGCGACGAGGCAACACCGGAAGAGCAGCATAAGGAGTTCATGGCCAAGCTCGTGACCAGGTTGGTTTATACTTGTAACCACCTACAGTCCGAGCTGACGAACCTCTAGCGGGCCGTGCGGAACCATAAGACTCGGCACAAGGATGCCACACGGGCACTGGATGCCCGTGTACTGGACCCGGAACAGGCTGTACCATGACCAGATGCTGGGGTTTCCAGCAGTGCATCCTCTAGCCGCGAATTGGAGGAACGCGTTGACCACGTAGTGGCAATGCTAGGAGACATAAGTGCCTTCACAGAGCCGGCCACCATCAGCCAGCGGTTCGAGTTGCTGGACACTAAGATCAGTCAGCAACAGCATACCGACCAAAGCCACAACAACAGCTCGGCAAGGCCATACAAGATGCCGACATTCCGGATCGAGAAATTTGATGACTACACACATCAAGACCCGGTCGTCTGGTGGCAAGGATTTACAACGGAGTTGGGGATCCACGAGGTCCTTGACCATCTGTTCATCAGTGCTCTGTTCATCAACACCAAGGGAGGATGTCAGATCTGGCTCAGCCACATGGCAACCATCCACGACGTCCAGGTTTCAGACCTGCATAAGAAGGTCTCCTGGGAGGATATGACAAAGGAATGGAAGAAGCGGTTCAAAGTGGATGACGCGCCTGCGCTCACCATCAACCGCATCTTCGCGATGGCTCATAGGAGCACACCGACACGTGACTGGCTCACGGATTGGCAGAAGATCGTGGCCACGCCCGATCTGGACCTGCCATTTCCGCATCGCGCCGTGAGTTCTACAACAAGTCATGCGCCGCTCTGAGCCTTGCACTTGGTGATCGCGAGCAGTACCACACTTTCGCAGAGATCATCAACAAGGCGAGAGAGATCATCAAGACCAACAGGGCGGCCGCACACAAAAAGTCAACGTGGCAGCCAACCTATGTGGAGAAGGTACGAACAGGTCCACGACAGCAGCAGTTCGTTGCAGTCCAATCGGACAGTGGAGAAGACCCAGCAGCCACTCCAGCATCACGTGAGGGAGATCAGGTGGCTGTTGTCCAGCCACGAAGCAACAAGCCCGGAGTGAACGGGAAGGCGAAACCAGCATCGCAGGCCGGAAACGGACAGCCAGCACCACCATGGGTCAAGTTCGGCTTGATCGAGGCCGAGTACAAGTACCGCAACCGTTACGGCTGCTGTTACTGGTGCAACAGCACCAAGCACAAGACCTCCATTTGCCAAGATCAGGCCAAGGAGGAGCGGCCTCGTCTTAACTCGAGAAACTGAGTTGTGCAGGAGGTGAGGCGACTCCACCTCTCACTCCGCCAGATTCGACCGCCTTGCTAGCGGCCTCCTACACATTTGGGGAGGATGCATATGTCGCAAGTCCTTGGTACAATTACGAGGATTATGCTGTCAACTTGGTCCCACCGCGGGACCAACCGCTCCACGTGCAACAATCTACCACATGCACGGTTTCATCACCATCGGCAACCGATTCGGCAGCTTCGCCGCTATCTATCGTCGGGGATTCATCGTCGTGGTCAAGACTTGAGGTGCTCGACCCACTGACGTTCACGGACTTCCAGTGGATGCCCGTTCCCCAGACCGGACGATTGCCGAAACCGCATTGCAATATGCTCATGGCACAACTGCGAGATTACTTGCACACTGCAGTACCAGCTTCATTGATGGACGCCGGAGTAGAGGTTGTCGACCTTCACACTTACATTGCGAAGATCGACCGCGAGTTCAAAACGCAACGGTACGACGACATCGACGCACCATTGCTATATGTACGCATTCAGATCGGAAAGGCGACCTGCAACGCCTTGATCGATTGCGGAGCATCTCGCACCTACATCAGCCAGGACTTCATGGTGCGCGCCGGCCTTGGCCCACGTGTCCGGAGGAAGTCCCAGCCTACGCAAGTCACTTTGGCAGACGGTCATATGCACAAGTCCATCGACCGGTGCATTGACGCCGTCCCCGTGTACTTTGTCCCTCACGCAAGTGAGGCGGTGTCCTTTGATATTCTGGACACCAAATTTGACATGATCTTGGGCATGTCATGGCTGCGAAGCGAGGATCACCCTGTGAACTTCTTCCACCGCACCGTTCACATTCGTGATCATAACGGAGTACTAGTTCCATGCAAGGTACCTCTTCCTCATCCTTCGACCAGCTGCCACGTGGTATCCGCCGCAAGCATGCGAGCATCCATCATCAGAGACGACATCGAGGAGATGGGGGGGTGTTTTCTCTACGACCTCCCGCCCCGAGACGCTTCATCGACGGACTCATCTTCGGATCCACGCATCACCGAACTTCTCGACGCCTACAGCGACGTGTTCGAAGGCCCGCACGGAGTAGTACCGGATCGACCCATCCGCCACGAGATCATCCTCGAGGATGGGGCCTTTCCTCCGCGCGGCTGCATCTACCGAATGAGCGAGGAAGAGTTAAGTGTGCTTCGTGCACAACTCGACGATCTTCTAGAGAAAGGCTGGATTCGGCC